GGCCATGGGTACTTGAGACTCAAGAAGACCCGGGTTAGAATTGATCTTCAGCAACCCATGCGTGTCGTAGGAGGCGACTAACGGGATCTGATGGTCAGACTCGCTGACTTTGGTGACACATTTGATCACTGGATTGTCGGATCTATACTCGATTATTTACAAACCGCCCACGTATAGCGTGAATATTGCTGAGTGCGGCGTTAAACAACAATAAAAAAACCAAAAACAAACATTGGTACTTGGACTCTCGTGGTATGCCAGGTAATGGATATACATTATTTCATACTTTTGCATTTGTTGTATTGAACGAGGCGTCTTCCAGTTCAATACATAAGGTCCAAATGCACTTATCTTACCTCACACATAAATGTCGTTTTCTGATTGGATGAGCCAAGCAATGTACCCCGCTTACAAGCGAGTAACATTTTCTCTGTTACCCGCTGGAAATGCCGAACTATGGGAATTCGTTTCTTACTTCGTGTTGGTAGTGTTTAGACTCAGATGTTTGATAGGCATTTAGAAATTGGTAGGGTAATACAAGACACATGATATAGACCTCCAAAATCTACTGTCAAAACGATATCTCCTAGGAGATATCGTATAATCCCACACAAGCAATATTTCCAGTGGAACCCAGTTTTTTATGATATGGGGTGTTTTAATCTAACTCTGAACGCGCGCGGGACGTATCACACATGTATACGTGAGATCACATTCCTCTGAGTGAGATTGCATCAATCAACGGCCACGTTCTGACAAAAAGAAAACAGAATAATTTTTAACTCAAAACAAGTTCTATTTAGTACTGACCTTCGAAAGGTTTGGCCAATATTCACTGTCAATAACGTCTACGCTTGCGCTGATTTTAAAAATTCATGATAAAATTTAGATGCTGACGGAAGGACCCGAGTATTGCCGAACATTGGAAAAAGTAAATCCGTATTTCCTAAGCTCGCCATATTTCACGGCTTTACTGCTGTCAGAAGATAAATGTGTATGTAATAAACAATGTCCCTATATAATGTCATCGTACATAGCCAAAGGATGGTAGTCTGTTTGTGGTATACGCCTAACATGACCTGTTATATGTATACGGTCTGGTCATGTCGTTGAAGGCGATAATTGACCAAAGGATGGTACTCTGTTTGTGGTATACGCCTAACATGACCTATTATATTTACACGGTCTGGTCATGCCGTTGAAGGCGATAAATAATTCATGGTAGCTGGAATGATATGAAAAACTGGACATTGATTTGTCTAAGAAACGTATATTTCATCTTTTAGTGCTTAATGTGTTTACAATAGTTATCCATTGTGTTGTTCGTTATTCCATGTTGTGTACACGTTCAAGTGTACTGTGGATACGACTCGATGAACTATTACACCGTCATAATGACGCATTTAGGAACATTAGCACAGTAACATGCATATCGAACACAATGCAACCCACGGAAGCAGTGGTTTTGTCAGGAAAATGTGATCTTTTTCAAACTCGAAACTTTCCTTTTAGTGGGAAGCACAGATTCTATCTGAATGTGAATCCTTGAAGCCGGAAAGGAAGTTCCTGTTTTCAGAACAGAGTGAAGGCCTTTGTACTTCCTAGCAGAAAGACATTATATACTCTTAATGCTCAATGGCTTTCTCTGCTTCAGGTTGCTTTTAGATGTTTTGAACACTACATGATTGCTCTTTGTATACTCCCACACTGGGAACTACATATTACATACAAAGTACTTCTTCACAAAGGACCGTCTCCGTGGTGTAGTGGTTAGAGCGTCCGCCCGGAGAGCGGAAGGTTGCATGGTTCGATCACCGGCCGCGTCATACCAAAAGACGTTCTAATATGGAACTTGTTGGTCCCTGCCTGGCACTCGGCATTAATATAATATAATGGATACAACAAGGACCGGCCGGCTCGGAGTCTGTATAATGTGTCTGTGTGGGGTATTCATGCTTAGCTGCGGCTTAACCAGCATAAGTCTGGGCTAGTACAAGCAGCCACACATACACACGCATGCACGTTGCTGTCATATGAACGAAGTATTCTTAAGTGCGACGTTAAACCCCATTTCACCTCACCTCACGTCTTTACAAATATGCTTATTTGAGGTGATGGTGCCAGATAAGATATAACGTGGTATTGAATCAGTTTTTGTTTAGGTATTAGGTGTACCCGAACTTGTTTGTAATTCACCTGAAAGGTTTAGGTCCTTGTTATATCATGAAATACACAATGCCATTTTAGAAAGTGGTCAAATGTAACATATGTTACCTTGGTAAGAAACCCTATGATATCAGTAGTAGGTTTAGGTCCTTGTTATATCATGAAATACACAATGCCATTTTAGAAAGTGGTCAAATGTAACATATGTTACCTTGTTATATCCTTGTTGCAATATTTGGTGGTTGACATTCCTCACCTTGGTAAATAATATTCACTATAGACGTTTGCACTTGAGAATGTTCTGGGAATACTGCTATTAAACGTTAAGGTCAAATTCTCTCTCAATGTCAAATCCTTAAAATAAACAATAATCATGACAACTGGAGCAGCCTTACGGTAGTCGAATGTAATGTGGAAATTACAGCCCATTCAGTGGTCAGTTTTAAGTGACTTACTTTGAAGGTTAGAGGGCATGGGTGACCATGGTACTGCAATTCGGTTTGATGAAGTTGGTACTGTAAGCGCGCCAGAAACTTTAATTTGGGGTTCGAATCCCGATTCGTCCCGATTATGTTTCTAGGTTTGTAAGCACCCTTGCTCGTGGATTTACCAAAAGGTGATAAACATGTGTGCCCTCCATCACTTAGGGTCGGTATATATATCGATTACTGGTGACAGCAGCGTTGCACCTAACCCATCCACTCACACTAATTCACCGACGGCCAAGTCAGTTTGAGTTCAATGTTGATAGACAATAACTTTCTTAGTACTTTCTGTTCTGAAGTCAATCTATATGTATTTTTCAAACCTGGAAATTCTGACAGTTTTACTATCAACAACAAAACTTCGGTACCCACAGTCAAATGCACATGTTCAGTCAACTGTGTACAGATATCAACATTCATTTTGATTTACAGTTAAGGGAGGTTTTGAAGGATGAGAAAATGGGCAGCATATAGAAACAAAGACCATAAAAAGCAGAAAAAGTATTGGAATAGGTATAAAGTATAAAAAAAACCTATTCCAATATATGCCTTTACTCAACGAATCTTCTTTTTGACATTTCCAGCAGTGAATTATGCTGTTTCTTATGGGAAATATATTCGGAATGAACCTGATATTTCATGGTCGATCACGCCAAATATCCTGCTGTCAGTGATTGATTCTGTATGGATCTGTAACTTAACAGATCTGTAACTCATGTCAACATTGTCTGAAATACAAGAACAATGTGTAAATATTTGATAACAATATTTCGATTATCTTCAAATACAAAGAATGCAAAATTTAATTGGCTATTCGAACTGCATCGAACATCAATAACTTGTTTCAGTTGGGTTATTTAAGTATGTCGTCATTCGTACATAATATATAATGTATACAAGACATTGTCGATGATCCATGTCTATGATGATCCATACTGGGATTGAACAGGGAGCGCGCCTGATTGGAACGATATAATTAGAGTGGGCAGGTTTGGATTAGAACGGTATGTGAGTATGTGTCACCATGATTGGGATGATAAACACCATAAGTGAGAGGGTTAAACCCATGGTTGGGGACACATAGTCCCGACCAACCGGGAGTAAAACAAGAGACGCAATCGTAGCAGTTACGTTTGAGGTCACTTGTGTCTCCCCGTTAAACGTTGATTTCTACGTACTAGTAACCTGCGAAAAAAACATGCAGGATGTAACGTATCGTATAGAACGTATTCATATTCCAGCTACGTGTACATGTAACTACTATAGCTGTCTGTCTTCCAGATATCTCGGGGCGGTGGGGTAGCCTAGTGGTTAAAGCGTTGGCTCGTCACGCCGAAGACCCGGGTTCGAATCCCCACATGGGTACAATCTGTGAAGCCCATTTCTGGTGTCCCCCGCCGTGATGTTGCTGGAATATTGCTAAAAGCGGAGTAAAAACATACTCAGTCAGTCAGTCCAGATATCTCGGTGCGCGGTGGACAGAAACAAAAACTATTTGAGAGTGTCACAGTAGGAAATCTCAGATAATCTGAGAGAAGTTTGGTACATTTATCATGACAGATACATATTTGTGAATCAACTTTCTTATCTGAAGTTGTAGTGACACTGACGTGTTGCAAATATTTATATACAGTTATACGCCGAGATGCAGTTTCACCTGAGTCGGATGTGACGATATCATCTGCATCTACGCTCTAAATGATGGAAATGATCATTGGTTGCCATTGTGGCCATTGATGTCTTGTCCCGGCTCTGTTCTTTCATCTACATTTCACCTATACCACATGTAACTTTCCATTCTAGATTATTTGTCACTTAATTATTTTTTAGAGTAGATTCGCCTTTTTCAAATTTGATTAGTATTGGCATACAACTGTTGTAGTTTGAATCCATCTTGGGAGGTGAGAGATACGTTAAGATCTATGTGACCTCACGAAAATGTTCGACACTGCACCACTTGTTTACATATGGAACTACATGCTTCTAATATATTCTTTCTTAACCCAGTTCCCTGTTGTTTTCAACTGAACAATTGACTTTCCCTTGAGTGTTATAGTGACTGGTTCCATCACTTTGTCAGGGCACGTTTACCTATTTGAGAAGACTCGGTATCACCACTATGGGATATCGACTCATGAACTCATGCATATAAAATCACATTCACACAATAGACGCTTTTGTTACTGGATTCTCCTGATTATAAACTAATTTTTGTGCCGCTTTTTTATGAACGTTATCAACATCTTTTATCGAGAAACCCTTGGTCTACGGTAAGGAAGTTAGAACAAGAAGTAAGTATATGATTGTTTTCCAAAGGATACGACAGAAATCTTCCTTCATGTCTTCCAGGTACACATTAAACATCTTCTCTGACGATTCAGACATTGTTATGCACGTGCATGCTCGGGACTCGGGTTTGGTGTCGTGGAAGCAGAGGCAGAATGATACATGGATCCGCACCGACAGTGACGACACTCGAGACCCTTTCAGGCCTCTTAACACGACATTCACGTGCCTGGTCGAGACAAAGGAGGACAAGATACAGGTGGGAATGTCATGTAGTGGCATCGCACACTATAAACTACGGTTATAACTAATTAATAGGGGCCACTAATTTCAGTCTGTTCTAACCGCTGATCATTATACGCATTTCGGCTTAAATGAAGAGTAAGTGCCGGGACCAAAAGTATAGTTCTTTATATCCGTCTATACGTTACAATATACCTCAATTCCAGTACGATATACTTGTCCTTGAAACACACAGCCTTAAAACCCGCGAGTCACGATCTCCGTCTCTGTAACAAACTTACGCCGACGCGCTTGAGCTTGAACTCACCAATGAATCGAAACAGGTCTGCTTAACGAACACTGATCAATACTCAACATATATCTACACTGAAAGAACGAGGCCTTTTTCCAATCTTTAAAATACAGAATTTTACTACGAATCGGAATCTATCTGTAGATAAAACGCTGTATAACAGGAGGAAACTATTCGTGCTACCAGACGGTCAGTTGGCCTTGAGATAGTTCATGATAACGTGAGTCGAATATTTGCCACATCGTTACTTCTCCTTGTTGATTCCCAAGTTGAAACAAATTCAGTCGTTAACCGCGAATATTTCCGCGAAAAAGTAAAAAAAACACAAAAAATCATCAAAGCAATGTGATGTAAATTTAAAGAATTGCCTTACAATATTACAATGGCAGTACTAAACTTTGTGGCAGTTCAAAGTCAAAGGCATAATACAAAAACAATGACTGCGGTAAAACAACAGAGACGCTGACATTTACCTCACTGCAATGATAAACCAACAGAGTATCCAGGGTATAATAACTGTCACACACAATGCTGGTCTTTCTAGTAACGTGAGATGTAACATGCGATGGTAGGCACGAGTCCCCCCCTTCCTCACAATCAAAAAGGATTTAAGATGTTTCTACAATTTACTGTGCATAACTGGACAGGCCAATATGGTTGTAGTACATTCCAGAATTCTGTCTGAAAATAGCACACACCACTAGTTCTCACTGAATATCACATGCTCAATGTGTTACATTTGAAACAATCTTACACAATCACTATCACTGCCACATAACATCCTCCACATGGTTCTTCTAATTTATATCGCGTACCGTGATTGGATAACTATTTCAAGCATCCTATCATTTCAATGGGACTTGCGTGAAGGGTATTGTTGGGTTTTGTTGTCGAATCAGTGAAGGGTATTGATCACAATGGGATGCATATACGACGCTCTGGATAATCATGTTCTCCTGAATGTAAGGAAACGTGTCGTATTGAGGTCATTGCACAATTCAAATTATTAAACATTTTAAGCGAGGTGTTAGGAAAAAGCCCACACTGACATTGGTTTCACATTTTATTTCCGTTCTTTGATTTCCGTTATCTTTCTCTATGTTCCAGTTCTCAGTGAATGGATCAGAGTACTTTAGCTTCCCATACATCCATGACCCGACTCGCATCTACAGATTCGTCCTGCAGCACAACCTTGAGATCCTGGAGGTCGACATGCAGATATAGCCCCGAGCACCACGAGCACCATGATGAACGCGTGACATCAACAGTCTGTTACATGACTGCTTGAGAGCGATGTAACTGTACTTATGTAAGGGGCCGTGGAGTAGCCTCGTGGTTAAATCCTTGGCTCGTAACGTAGCGTGGGCCCATTTGTGGTGTACCCCGCATTGATATTGCTGGAATATTGATAAATACGGCGTAAAATCATACTCACTCACTCAATGTGGAACCGTAGTTCTGTGAAAATGTACGTATGACGTACTTCTGAAATTGTGAACCCAATGTTATTGTAAGTCGTCCTTTGGTGACGAATTTTGTGAGTAATTAAAACATATTGTATTAATGACAAATATGGATTGATAAAAATATATCCAAGCATATACATATGAATACATAGTGGGGTGGGTGGGTGGGGGGATGTGAGGGTGAGGCAGCAATGCCACGTAAAATGACATTTATGTCCGATGATATTATTTTATAACAATATTCTTTGAACCAGCAAACATCTCTATGCGGATTACAAATAGAACATAATAGACAGCGCACAGCATTCCCAAGTTGACAACCACACTTAAAAAGCTTATTTACTGGATAAAAATGTATTCTGTATAACTGGCAGTCTAGTTTGCTGGTCAAATATCTCAGGCTTTTAGTGTTGACATGTAAATGTATAATACCATACGAAACGAAAGGAGTCACAGAGTCTTGAATAAATCTTGTTTGAGCCGTAAATAATAAAACAGGTACACAATTTCTGACATCTAATGTTAGATTGTTCCACAGTTTAACTGTTGAAGGTAAATATTAATCAGTCAAAATCTGTCAGATAGTTGAGAAAGATTATCGAGTTCCTTACGTTATACTGTGTTTATGACCTACTGAGGACGATACAAATTCTCTTAAGAACAAAGGAACGATATCATTTTATATTTTGTAAAATATACACAGTTTGATTCCTCCGTAGTTCGGACAGCTGTTCCCTATCCGTTCCAAAGTATGAGAATAATTTGGACGTATTAAAAATGAGGTCTCATAAACAGTGTACATATTATATTTCAAGAGGAACTTTAATTTTCTCAAAGCACATTGGAAGTTTTCTTGACTCGATTATCAGTATTATGATAACCATAGCCAGTATGATAATATTCCCATTAGAAGAAAAGGTTAAACCCAAATGTTCATGAAAATGTTCAGCTTCTATCTTACAACCATAAAAATGAAGCTGGATTTGTTTACAGTGTTCTTTAAGGCTAATTACCACAGCCTCCGTTATTTCAGGATTATATTTGACCGAGTACTGCTTAGCCCAACTGCTTAAAATGTTGAGTTTTCATTCATCGTTTTTTTATGCAAGATGTTTTTTTGTAGATGAGGTGCCATAAGCGAAAGGTCTGTTATACAGAGTAGTTTATATGCTATTTCATTAACATAAACAATGAATAGGAAGGGGCAAAGTACCGTGATTGACATGAATACAGAGAAAGTAAAGTGGTAACACCGATTGGAATTATAAACCAGGGCCTAGATTTTCGAAGCTCTCTTAGTGCTAAGATAGTCGTAAGTGCCATACATTAACATGAACTTACAACTATCTTAGCTCTAAGAGAGCTTCGAAAATCTAGGCCCTGGGCAGTAAATGAGTGAACTCGATGTTAAATATGACTGATACGAATCCAGATTTTGAATGTTTCTACTACTTAAAGATTAAACAATAAAAATACAGGTCTCAGTTTATCTTATAGTTATGACGGATCTTATTATATGACGATAGTCGAAACCAATGGTACGGAAAGATTGCCGGATTGTGTGACAACCGTTACATAAATAACATCTGACATTGAGTAGTACGGTTTAGAGCGACGCAATTCGACAAATGGGTTATGCCCCTTAGACATCGCCCTGATCATTTTGATGACACGAGCTGATTATTCTTCCCTACTCAACTGACAAGCCATTGACATGCGCGTCATAGTCGTATCTGTATGGTTTTGTTTGTTTGTTCGTTCGTTCGTTCGTTTGTTTGTTGTTTAACGACACGTGCAGAAATCGTCGGTCAATTACGGCGGTCTGTAAACATCATGGAGCAGGTAATGCGGTAGTTGGCATAATTAGCATCGATCGATGCAATTAGTGTATCATGACATGCATATCATGGCGTGTATCAGCTAGCCCTGATCACCCAGTCGTTTCCTCTTAAAACAACCATAGGTACGTCGATGCTCATGATGATTATCACCGGATTGTCTGTTCCAGACTCGATTGCTGATTGCAGCTTTAAACGACAAATGACCAAACAAAAACAACAGTCCTAGTTTACCTAAGACCAATTTTCACCTGGATCTTCAAGGGTTTCTATATATCTGAGTCTCCACGGCCGCGCTAAACTCGGCCACCTTACTGTACAAAACTGAAATATTTCACAATGTCAAACAGTACACTACTGCTAAGAAACAAATTTATTGATTTTTTTTATATTCAAACAAATATTTCTTTGAAAACAAAATATTGTTTCTTTCGACTTAATCTATAAAAGCTTCTCTTGATATTGATTGTGTATACTATCATACATCAAACGATGAACAAAAACATACCATGGTGTCAGAACATGTCAACCCTGCCAGTATGTCATCATGTTGCTATAGCCTATAATAATGTGTCCCCAGATACAAATAACCTGGGCATGCAAGCTCATTACATAACAGCATTGTCTGTGTCTTGCCCGCGGACGAAATAGGTAAGGTTTTGTAAGTTAAATGCTGAGGAACTACCACAGGTCTTGTACGCATCATCTGCATCAATATTCGCAGGGGAAAGTATTCTAAAATTGAAACCGACTATGGTAAAATAGATTTAGTCAAAGGCACTTGTAACTAAGGAATAATCATTATGTCTTGAAACACTTGTCGAGCATTCAACAAATCACCCATGAGTTATTTATATCTCAATGGTTTTTAAACAGGTGAAAACGTCCTATCATGTTTTGTCGGTGGTGGAGGTTGGTTGGTTTGTTTGTTGTCTGGACCACACAATCCAGTGATCAGCAGTATGTGCATCGATCTACGCAATTGGCATACGATGACATGTGTCAACCAAGTCATTGGTTGACCACCCGACCCTGTTACTCGCCTCTTACGAAGCATGGGTTACCAAAAGACAGACCTCCCAAAAGACAGACCACCCATAGGACAGTCTCAATGAGTACACTAATTAGCTGAGCCATGCTGTCCACCCCTTTTTGAATAATGAGCTGACCCAGAGTCACTACAGAGTATAGTAACACCACACTCCTATCTCCTGTGACCTTCTCAAAACATATTACTAATCATTTTACTGAACTGAACAGAACCGAAATTTTATTCTAAAAACTCACACATAGTGACACAGAGAACACACAGCATATTGATACATATTCATACATATTGATACATATTAATACACTGAACAAAGTCCAGTTTTGATAAATTTGGCAACTTTAGAGTTTAGTAGTGATTGGGGAAGAAATTGATGTCTGAGGGCATTTACTGCTGGACAGTATAATAAAAAGTGAAGTTCATCACAGACGTCTAAATTCACACTATGGTTCCATTCTTTACAATACTGGTCAAACACAGTCAACGATTGTTGCAATCCATCACTTGTTTCAGCTAATATGACAGTATCATCAGCGTAAAGTAATATCAACAATTTCATAAAGATACCAAGCTGGTCCTCAATAAGCTTGTTTACATGTTCGAGGTCAGTTACATTATAAAATTCAGTATAAAAATATGTATATAACTGGAGAACAAGATGTAATATAATATATAGTTATTTTTACCATGACTTTTTCCGATCACCCTTCTAGATGGCTACCTGTATGCCAAGAACAAGGTGAAAGGAGAAAATGATGATGTTGAAGTGACTTTTAATAAGTGTTATCTGTGCACTGACAAACATGTGATGTAAAATAATATGGTGGTTGGTCTAATATGTTTGATAGGTACATGTATATAAATTATTGTTTTTGATAATATTCACAAGTAAATGTGATCTGGCAAATATATGTTGATGTAATATGTCTTAATTTAAAAATCATAATTCGTTACATGAATTGATAAAACTATAGTTAATACCTAATGTTGTCTTTTTTATCTGGGCACATACCATTATTATCAAGGGTACAGCTTAATTAAGCCTTGTGTAACCAACCATAAAATGTATTGTTTTAAGCGGTCTGTTTTTTGGGAGGTCTGTCTTATGGGAAGATACCCTGAAGATCAATTCTAATCCGGATCTTCACCAACCGTAATGTGTCATTATAGCCAGTGTAAGAAGAATGTAGAGTGTGTAACGCACTGCCCCAAATTAAGGTTTCACTGGGCGGTGGGGTGGCCTAGTGGTTAAAGCGTTGGCTCGTCACGCCGAAGACCCGGGTTCGAATCCCCACATGGGTACAATGTGTGAAGCCCATTTCTGGTGTCCCCCGCCGTGATGTTGCTGGAATATTGCTAAAAACGGCGTAAAACCAAACTCAGTCAGTAAGGTTTCACTATACAGCCCTCCTCTGTGTAACATGTTGCCCCAAGTGCTGCTCACAATATGCACTGTATGTGTGTTACTGTCGTCCAAGTGCAGCCATGAGAGGTCTGGAAACCACTCTCTATTAGGCATTAAATCGTTTTTCCTCACTCACTCGCAATATCGGAATATTAGTAAGTTTCAATTTGTTTCAGTAAATGAACTTGTGACATCGTCAGGCTCAAAGCCGTGATACGAAAGGAACTATGACAAACAGTTACAAATCTGACAAAATGAGTAGTGTTGCAGGTGTTAGATTTTCACAGGTCAGTGAAACCTACGATTACGGCTATGGTACAGAAGAACCATGAATCATTAACAGGCTGTAGTTTGAACGCCGCCAAGGGGTGTTATATTTAGTGCTTCAGACTACATTATATTTCTAACATGATGTATACAATGTAGACATTTTACAACCAATAGTACAGCATTTCAGTATCCATGAAAAATGTGAATATATTGGCACTTGTTGTCATGTCACATAAAGGCCTAGCATTGCATGTGACTAGTGTCTGTTGTATGTGCCAGTATCGCTTGCATAACAACCACCTGAGTATCTATCGACTGATTACAATTGATTAAACATAACGGCTGTCATACACCAGCAAATACATTAATTATTTCCCGTTACAGCAAGGTCTTTCTTTTACATTATTTCAGCAAGTGAATATTATAAGGAATATGCC